TAGAAATTCTTGAAAATCAATCATTAAACACATAGATAGTAAATCCCCTCCACAGTCAAGAAAAGTCAGAGCTTAAAAAATAGTACCATAATTGAATCGAGAAAAGTCATAAATCCCCTCCACAACAAATTTTTTGTCTCCATTTGCCCCAAAACAGGACAAAAAGTGTGAGAGACTCTTTAACAAATTTTCTCGTCATTTTTGCACCTAGGCTGGATCGCTAACCTGAGCTGTATTAAAATGACGGAAAAGTGATTTACTAACTCTACCGTAGGGTATGAAATTATTGATATGAAGCAACAAAGGAAGGTTGTATGATAGTGTAAGAGATCAAAAAAAAAAAATCCAAATGAAATGAAAGTTGGGGAAAAAAATGATTAAAAAAAATCCTTCATATAATCAGATTTGAAAATTATCATTCCTTAGTTTTTAATATTTTTTATAATTAAAAAATAATAATAAACTCATCCATATTTTCATTTCATCTATAGCATGCAGTTCAAACAAGAAAGGATACATCGGTTTTGAAAGGAAAGTTCTCAAGTAAGACGAATTTTTTTTAAAGTGGAACGACATTTTTTTAGATAGGAAAATCAACATGTAACACTTTATCATTAAATTATTATTTAATTCTATGAATTTTTTCTGTTACACATAAATATTTTTTTAATTATAAATATTATAAAACAAAAGTTATATATATTACCAAGGTTACTTGACCGAACGTTCGGGGGGCCCCGGACTGGCCCCCGAACGTTCGGGCGTTCGGGGTCCCGTTCGGGGGCCGAACACCTCCAGGTTGGGCCCACGCCAAAAATTGTTTTGGGGCCTAAAAATAATTTTATTTTTCTGCATTGTTTTTTGTGAGTTTTCTATGATGTAGCCTACACGCCTATAAATTTTGAAGCCATTCTTCTCACCCAAAAAAACATTAAAAATCATCAAAGATGGGGGTGTCAAAACGTGCTCGCCCACTCACTATTTTGTTTTTTTTTCACTTTTTACTTTTGGTTTTCACTTTATTTCGGGGCCTAAGAACTTTTATTATTTTTTGAAAAAAAAATAATGAGTTATTGATTATGTAAGCTACATATCTGTAAATTTTCAGGGCATTTGTCGATGCCCAAAAGTAATGAAAAACTGGCAAAGATGGCGGTGTCGAAAAGGTGCTAGCACACTCACTCGTTTTAATTCTCTTTTTATTTTTTCTTATTTTTATCATAGTTTTTATTTCCTGTATTTGATTTTTAATTCAACTTTGGTAAATAATTTGGATGTAGTGCCCAGGCAAATGTTGTTTAGTTTAGTTTTCTCCATAACATTTTTTTTTTTTCGGAATGTGTTTTTTTTTTTTTTTTTTTTTTTTTYTGTCCGCGTTCGGCCGAACGGCCGAACGCTTTCCGAAGGGGTCCCGTACGTTCGGGCGTTCGGCCCGTCCCGAGCGCCGACAACCCTGTATATTACAATATATTCTAAGGCTCTAAGCTAGCAAAAATCTAAAAATAATGATGCATAGTTTAGGTAAGCCCTTGGTCCTATGGAAAATGAAGCAAGGTTAGAATACCTAAAAATACCTATTTAACCACATCATATTTTGATTGGGTAAAATTATGATCATTTGTGTCATTTGTCTAATAAGATCCATTTGTGAAATGAGAGATTTAGAGTTTAGAAGAATAAAAAATGCGAGAAACTACTGAACCACAAATCAATTTATACATCTACAAGCGCTATAACAATATGCCACAAAATCGAAAAGAGCCAAAAAACGATGAAGAAAGGGAACAATCTATTATTTTGTACTCAACAGTGGTTGCAGGGTTTATCCCAAAGAGGATAAGTAACTATAGTAACAGGGAGAAAAAAATTGTAAGTTGACCCTCTTTTCAATTACTATACTAAATGAAATTCTTGTTCGTCAGATCCTATGAAAAATTATAATTTTTTTTCCCCCTTACAAAAGGGTTAGTTGAGCTCTCCAAATTTAAGGTAGAACAATATGGATATCTTTGTGAAGGGCAATGTCAAACCATTGCTATAAGTGAATGGCAAACTAAGATTGCAAGGTATTGAAGTGGTATAGAAGGAAGCTAAAAAAAAGCCCACTCGATGGTTTACTGAAGGACCAATCACTCACTCCTTCCATACCCTTAATTACATCATGCACATAAACAAATAGAAGGACTGAATAAGTCTGTGTCAAAACTCAAAAAATTGACATTCATGTTTGTTACAAATAGAGGAGCAGAAGACTCCGGGGATAGATATGTTCCCAAAGGAGTTGGAGAAAACATTTTGGGATGGTTCTTTGTGTAGATCTGACGTACTTCTCTGAGATGGTATGGGGAAAAAAAAAAAAAAAAAAAACAGAAGAAGAAGGGGTATTGGGGAGCTCGTTGGTCAAGAGGATATTTTTCTGCAAACTACGAAAGGTGATATGATAAACATTAAAAATTACAAGCTTATCACACTCCTTACAATGACCTAAAAGTTGGGGGAAAAGGATGACACTGTATCCAGCGGTCAGGGATTGCTGAGAGAGGTGAACAGCCAGGCCGAAAAAGAGGTCCACAAAACGTACTGACCCTTCGTCGTTGGGGATAATTTGCGAAGTACCCGTATAAGTTGAGATATATGCCAAAATGTGGGTAGAGCAGAATACCCGTCTGACACGAAAAATGTTTTGTGAAATGCCCCTGGTATCGGTTGGGCCTGCCATCTTTGCAAAATACCCCTTCCGGGACCTGTCAATCTTTGCAAAATGTCCCGGTACTTCCCAACTTTTCCCAGGCCCTATGTATTTTCATTTTACCCCTAGCGGCCAGGTACAGATAATGGACGTGCGTTCTATTTGAGCGAAGGTGCTGTCGTTTTACCAGTTCCACTCTGTGTGTGTGTGCGTGTGTGTGTGTGTGTGTGTGTGTGTGTGNGTGAGAGAGAGAGAGAGAGAGAGAGAGAGAGAGAGAGAGAGAGAGAGAGAGAGAGAGAGAGAGAGAGAGAGAGAGAGAAGGGAAGCGGGTACCTCTCACAATTAAGGGGATGCATGTTGGTCCCTGCCCTAATTGGCGGTGATCAGGGAGCAGGGTGGGGCTGCTGGTGGCGGGGGGCCGCCCAACGCACAGTAGCTGCCCCTCCCATCTACTTCCCCCGCCACCATCGAGTAATTGTAGTGTCTATGGCCACCTCTCTCCCACACACACACACACACACACACACACACCTGTGATGGCCCCACGTGCTCCCCACCAATAGATGGAGCCTCTCCCCAGGTGCTAGTGGTGTCTGCTCTGATCAGCACCACTAACACCGGTAGGGGCGTTAATTAAAAAAAAAAAAAAAAACGTTTATTTCGGATATGGTTTGCTTCCATTCTTGATCCTTCCCCATGTCCATGCCCGGAACGGCTGTGCTGTCCTTGCCGCCGACTTTGCTCCCAAAGTACAGAGATTGGGAGCTGCAGCCATGTTCAACTACATCCATATCGTTTTCCCCCACCTTGCTGCCGTCAACTCTGGCCATGACAACAGTCTTCCCCCCAGAACAACAACCCCTCCTCATCACTGTGCATTTGACCGGAAACATAGCTTGTATGCATCGATTATCAGGATGCGTTGAAGAGCTTCGTGGCAACCCCCACCGTCTACCGTCTTCCCTCAAACGCAACACCCCCTCATCATGACTGTGCATCAGACCGGAAATATAGCCTGTATACCTTGACTATCAGGATGCGTTGAAGAGCCTCCAGGGAACCCCTACTGTCCCCCAGCACAACACCCCCTTGTCATGACTGTGCATCAAACCGGAAGCATAGCTTGTATACATTCATTACCATGACACACATTGTATTCGCGTAAGAAGGTGGAAAGCGCAGCTTCAGCTTCTGCTTCTGCTTCTGCTTCTGCTTCTGCTGCAGCTTCTGCTGCTGCTTCCGCTTCTGCTTCTGCTTCTGCTTCTGCTTCTGCTTCTGCTTCTGCTTCCTGCTTCGCAGCCAATGAATGCCTTAGTACAACTGCGCAAACCGACAAACAGATGAGGTACCAAGGCGGCACTACTTCATTGCATGCGCCCGTCCATAGAGCAGGACAGAAAATTAAAACACATTGGTTGGTAATTCATTTGCATGCGCCCGTCCATAGAGCGTCCCCAGCCTTGAGGAAATTTGTTCATTGCCTACGCCAAAAACTTTGCGGCTCGGGCCTACCGAACCACAATGGCCGGCGGTGCCAGCCAAAGAAGAAAAAAAAGTGTGTCGCTGGCAGTTCCGAAAAGCTTTGCTGGCGCGCAGTCCAGCGCTTCCAGGCCTGGGTGGACTCTGGTGGTTTACGACATACATAAAGGTTTGGGCAAAAGCAAGATGTATAACATGCGGAGAAAAAAAAGAAAGGAAAAAAACTTAAAAAAAGGAAAAATGTATAACATGATATACCAAGTTATAAACACCTGGTCACAGTCAAACAGCACATATAGTCTATGACCCATGTGCACTCATACTCAACAGCAGTTCATTCATAAACATTTGACACACACGCACACACACACACACACAAAAAAAAAAAAAAAAAAAAAAAA